AGGCGTCGGCACGCGGGTCCGTTCAGGTCAGAGAGTTCAGCGAGCGCTGCGGTTTTTCCCCTCAGCGTTGGCTATTTATCCCACCTCCGCCCATCAGGAGGTGCTGTTCCCCCACCTGTGTAACACTGCTGAGTCACACTGCAGCTGCCAGTTATCACATCCAATTTCACAGAGAGGCCCGATCGTGGTGGAGAAATTAGATTTTCAAAAACGCTTCCCATCCAAAGGACGACAGGGAAAAGGACTCTGAACGGCACTGGCGTGGAAAATTAAGTCATTAGTTTTGTAGTGTGTGTGTGTGTGTGTCTGTGTGTGTGTTGCATCCATTTACCTGGAGCAGCAGATGGAGGCTCCACTTCACTCTTCCTTGTTCTTTTCATAATCTCCTCAATTCTCTGCAGAAGCAGACACACGGCTGATGTTAACAGAGAGAAATAAACGACGATCACATCAAACTTTTCGAGTTTATGTTGTGTCGTGATAATCCATCTGCTCGTAAAAGTGTCTGAAAACGGTGCAAAAAGGGAACAAATAGAAATCCAAGAATAAACAAAGAGCCGGAGCTCCGTTCAACACATCCAGGATAATTTTCCTTATATGGCTTCATTTAATCTGACGTCTGTAAGCAGCCACATGAAGGTGGTTTCAGAGTCTGACAGGTTACAGTAAATTCATAGACGACAGTTTTTGTCGTTTCTCTGTGATGTTTAGTCTGCGATGAAGTGAAGAACAAGCAAACATAAAAACAGAATTAAACAAAGGCTTAGACTAGTTGCTATGTTTGGGGATCGTGTATTAATGCCTACAGAAGAATGAAGTTGTTTCAAAATCGCAGCCAACAGGAAAAACAGGAATGATGTTGCCTCATGAGATAAAGATTTTATCTGATTTTATCATTTCTCTTCCAGGAATGATCCATTTTCCTGAGAACTGATTGGGGAGGGCTAGTTCTCCGGTATATGTTACCGTGGTGATGTACCCCAGTGAACAATATACAGAAACTTCAAATGACTCAGGGCGAAATAACTGCTGGTGAGGTGAAGTGAGCAGAACAGTGACTGAAGAGACCAGAGAGAGTGTGGTGTACCAACGTCTGCAAGCGACCAGCAGCTTCAAAGTTATGTGTGACGAGTCAATCTCTTGCTATTGTATACGCAGCTTTAAAAGTGAATCATCGTCACCTGAAAACCTCAGGGTTAAACCTTCAGTTACCCCGCTAAGCCTCAAATCCTGCCTGGTAGCACAGGGGAAACAGGGGGCAGCACATCAGGGGAACAGCAACCAAATGTAAACATATCATAAGAATAAAAAACGACGTCATATCTGAGTCTCCTGAAACTGTCTGGATCCCACGTGAGAAAACATCTTAAAAGGTGAATTTTCTGAGATGGAGATGTACCTTCTTCCTCTGCTGTCTCTCCTGCTCCTCCTGGATGTGCAGCAGCTCTCTCGCCTGCCTCTTCCTCTCAGCCTCCCTCTGAGCTCGCAGGAAGGCCTCCTCCCTCTGAAAAACACACAGCCAATCACATTCTCGCCATTCTTCAGTTTACAGCGTGTAAACATGAGTTACCTGAAAACATACAAGAGTCGAACCGGAACCCCGCCCCCTTTGCTTCTCTAACACTGCCATGGCCGGTCTTACCTACGAGCTGTCAATCTGCACTATCATTAATCACTCTTTATAATCACTGTAATAATAAATCAGGGTTTAACCACTGCACCTGCAACCGAACAGGTACGAGGTAGAAAATAAAGATATGGTAGTGCAGCTTGTGTGTCTGCTCTTTGCATAATTCACCAACTTCTTCTTTTAATACAGTTTTAATAGTTTTCATTCAGCTGGCATTCATAAATCAGAGATTGGGGCTTTTATCTCCAAAGCTTTACTTGATTAAGTTTTTTTCTCAGTAGTTGGAGTTTGAAAGTTGAAATTTGGAGATAATAAACTCCAATTTTGACTTATTGATATAATAAAAAAGCTCTTACAGTGGCAGAAACAGACTTCTGTACTTTACCATCTGGAAGAGGGACTATAAACAAACATAACAGAAAAAAGCATTTTATAATGAAATTATTATGGCATTAAATAAACTGCAGTAATAATAGAAAAAAATGTTTTTATTCACATTTTTTAAATTTACTTTATTTGTTTAATTATTTACTTTTTATTTATGCACCTTTTTAATTTTTATTTGTTTATTTATTTAATCTTTTAATTTTTTTTGTCTTATTTAATCCGGTTTCTAGTTGTATTTATTTATTTTTAATAGATTTTTGTTATTTCTGTATTTCTTCTGACATTTCTTTCTGCTTCTGTGTCCGTATGGCATGAAGCTTTCACCTACATGTTAACATTCATTTATAATATTAAATCAATACACATGACACCCATAACTAAAAGAAACCTAAACACACTCAGAGACATAAATCCTTCTTTTACAGTAAACTGAGTCCTAAAGTAAATGTATTCAGAGCAGGGTAAGGATAGCAACGTGGGACACTTTAATGTAAGTACATCAATAAAAACACAAATGCACGGGCCAAAACGATCCGTGAACATTGTGAACAATTATTCATTTGAGCTGAAACTATGCAAACACTGAGCAGCATCACCTTCATACCAATAAAACACATCATAGGTCATTTCAGTCACACGGACCTCTCTGTCCAGCTGATCCTGCATGTCCTTCCATCTCTGCTCCTTCTGCCGTCTCTCCTCCTCCTCCCCTCTCGCCTTCTCCTCCTCCCGCCTCACCCTCTCCTCCTCGGCCTGCCGCGCCGCCCTCTCCTGCAGCTCTCTGGCCTCCTGCTGCCTCCTTTGCTCCTCCTCGGCCCTCAGCCTGCAGAAAACCACAAAGTCTGAACTTCACAGGGCGCCACGGACGAGACAAAGATAATCACCTCTGACAATTTCTATTTTTAATGCATTGTTAATATTGATAATTCAGTATACACAGCAAACAGTCAAAGTAATCAGATCAATGACTTTTTTTTATTCAGTCTTAGCTCTGAATAACTCCAGCTACAAAAGTGCAGTAAGTACATAACTAGTCCCTATAAACAGGACAAAAAACAACACTGTTTATAAATTGAGGCTTCAGTTCCATCTACAACAATCCCTGTAAACTTTGCATTTAACAAACTATTTTGTGTTTTGGGGATTTAAAAAAATAATTTTCCTCATCAGAACTGGAACAAAATGCTGCATTTTGGACAGTATTGACTGCTATGATGGAACTATGAGCGAAACTCGATCTAATGTCCATTAAATGTTCAGAAAAATCAAGAATCATAAGTCTAACGTTTCACATGTTCAGACAGAAACAGAAGAAACCAGAAACATCTGGGTCCAGTGAACAGCTGTGTATGAGGAGCACTCACCTCTCCTCCTCCTGCCGCTGTCTCTCCTCCTGCTCCTTCTGTATTCGGGCCAGACGGCGTCTCTCTGCCAGCAGTCTGGATGCCTCCTCGGCATCTGTGGTCCCACCCACGCTCCTTCCTGTGGGCGTGCCCGGAGACTCTGTTGGGGAGGATGGAGAGACACAAAAAAAACATAAAAAACTGTTTAAAAGATTTCAAAAAGCCTTTAAACAACATTACAGCTTCATAAATGCTCAGCTGAGGGAACCATCTCACCAGAGCCCTGCAGGTAAGACCTGCTGATACAAGTACAGATACAGAAAGGAAAGCCAGGAGCATCTTCGGTTGTGTTTTCACTCGATGTGCACTCTGCAGATTCTGTGGCGACCTTCTTGTTTTGCTTTTTTCTTCAACATTTAGAGTTTATCATTCACCTGAATTACGCTGAACAAATACCAGGTGGTATTTTGACCACTATCACCGTCCCCTGAATTCAATCGGCATCAATAAAAAACCGATAGCTTAGCTAAGGCGGCATGTGTAAAGTTACTGCTGCACGTTTGTCTTCACCTGCATTGAGTTCTCTGCTGGTGGATTTGGGGATCTTCTTCTCCGATGTCTCAGATTTGGTGGATTTCCTCTCCAGGGTGCTGTGACCTTTGACCTCGTCGGTGCCGGGGGTGGTGGCTCTCTGCCGGAGAGGGGAGGGCGGGTACTGACCGGGGGAGCAGGGAGACTGAGCACGACTCCTGCTGGACCTCACCCTGAAGCAACCAACAGAGTCACATCAAGTCACCCGTGCTTCAGAAGTGTGCGCATTCATGTTCAGACATGCGAGGACAGAAAACTGGCATGTGGCTA